CTTGTAATATTCTGTGTATTCAAAATTTCTGTATGGCTATATTAAACATTTCTATAAATTAAATTAAAACTTTGGATAGAGGATAAGGACAAAACATTCGCTCTTTCACATAGCGTATGCATGCATATATGTCAATATTATAAGATGCTAAAACAAAAGTATATGATTAATACTTGGACCGAATTGGTCACTTTGGTACATCTAGTGTAATGGTGACGGGAATCCACACAACACAAATTAATACAATAAAGAAAAAAAACTCCATGACTATTCGATAGACGGATGGGCTCATAACTCTATTTTAACCTCGTTGGACACGAACAATAAGACTCGAATTAAAAGGAGAGCAAGTTTACGCAGTCAACTACCACTATACCATTACCACTTGGACTGTGGACTTTGGTCATGTGTATAAGATAAGTAAAAATGGCTAATGTTTTCTTCTAGAGATGAAAACAGTCGTCGAGTCGACAACATGTATCATGAAATAAAGCTAAAAAAAAGCCAATGGGAAAGATCCTTTCGTTCACAAAGTAACAAAAGTGAAAATTTGGTGGATCATTCAGTGTGAAGTCATATGCAAGAAATAATAGTTAGTGTGTATGCCTTTTAAATGACTCTAAAACACAGTTAATAGTTTCTTGACCTTTACGCTTCGCAGTGGGTTCAATTTCATTATTTCTCTCTTAATTATAGTCCCTCCAATCAACTTATTGTATTTCTTTGTTTTTCTTACTAAACAAATTACAAATACCACTCGATTATTCCCTCTTGTATTTTCTATTTTGGTTTTTCTTGCAAGGCTAAAATTTACAACACTTTAAAACATCAGCTTAACTAGCAGTACAAAATTTCATTTGACCAAATCCAACAAATCTTTGTATATTGAGGGAAAATATTCAAATCTATAAAATGTTTTGGTTAAATCCAATTCGATCAACTTTTTATATTTTGAGGCAAAATATTCAAATCTCTAGAATATTTTGAATTGATAAACCGAAACTTTAATTCAGATAAATTTAAAATTATTTATGAAAATTTGTTTGAGCATGATATTAGGTCTTTTCAATTGGAAATAGCTATAATTTTTTTTAAAAAGATTACATTTTGAAGGATTGATCAACATAAAGTCATAAAATAAGAAACAAAAATTAGCTCGCTTCTTCATAATATTTCATCCTTGCAAGGGAAAATATTCACACAGAAAAAAACTGCTAGTCACTCCTCATGAAGCTTCTTGGTCGATTCACTTTTCGAGTTATTCTCCTAGAAACATCTAGAATCTTCTAATTATGTTCCCAAGTTACACATACCAGAACCACTAAAAACTTGTTTCATTGACTTCATAG